TCTATCAGACCTCCATCAGTGAAGAGACCATCAGAGAGAAGATGGTCTATTTCTATAGAGTTATTCTTAATGCTTGTGGGAGCCAACACGACACCACGCTGCTGGAGAGGAGACACCAGAGAACCAGAACCAGGACTGAGAGGGGTAGACTATCAGACCCTGCTGCAGTAAAATGAGAGGTTTTCTAAAGGGACTCTGGTGCTTTGAGACACTCCCGCTTTTGTCCACAGGGACCGCCAAAATCAACTCAAATCTAAGTTCCTCGTAGTAAATCTTACCTCCACACTGCTCCACAAAGGAGGAATGGTTCACAAACATTTATGAGACAGGACTCTCTGAACACAGATAATAATCTACAGTAGCTTCCTCCATTTTGGACTTTTCAGCTCTCTGTTCCACCAAAAGGTCAGCACCTGCAGGTCAAAGTTCACAACAGTTGAACTCTACGCCAAAAAAAGTGTACAAATGTACTTCGCTCAAGTCCACCGTTTGCAGTGATTCCGTTAAAAATGTTAAATGTTAGTAATAAAACTGATTTTGAAACAAAAACGTTGGTGTTATTGAGCGTTAAGGCTAACGAAAGACAGCTTCGACTGCTGAACATGCAGAGTCTGACGAGCTGAATCCATCCAATTATTGGTTTCTGCTGTAGAATTTAGTCTTTTGCTGTTTTCCTACATCTTTCACGAGAACACTGGACTACACCAATAAACTGTCAAATTTAAAGATATCATTGCCGTTATCAGCTGCAGGTATAATCCACATTTGTCCAAACTCTACTAAAGATCACGGTGGAGGTGGACTCTTCTGTGCTGATAGCAGCCTGTGGGAGTCTGGCTCTTAAATGAGATATCCACCAATTGAGAATCTGACACATACAAGCTTTGGTGTAAAGTGCTCTTCAGAGACTGCACAGTGTCTTCTTAGTCAGCTCACACGTAATGCTCGCTGACGTCAGCGTAATAGATTTCGCAATGGACGTGGATGTTTGGAAATGTCTTTTTTAACTGGTTTCCCGTGTCCTGGGATGGGAGACGGGAGGACGGCCGGGCCAAAACGAGAACGGCTTCGGCTCGTCCATCAACCCGAGAGATCTAAATATTTATCCTGTGATCCACATTTATCCGTTCGCCGGTGCAGCTTTCTGGGTCAAAAAACGTTATGTTTCTGGGAAGAAACACGAGTATACGGTGTTTATCCAACGCTACCCACAGAGATTTATCCTGAGCTGTCAGGGTTTGCAATAACACACATAAATTGCGGTTCCTGTCTCTCCGAAAATCATTAGAACCATTAATTTGAGTTCTGCACCAGCTGGGAAAATCTGGGCAGAAACAACAGTTTTCGCTTCCATCAGCAGCTGACAGCCAGGCGCTCTTGAGCAAGGCACTTTAAAACTGATCACCCTAACAGGAGAGGATCTCCGTTCTACCAGCAGGAATAAGATGCACGTCTGCTCAACTATTTCCTGAATAAATTGACCTTCTATGAGGAGAGATTAATAACTATAATGAGGAAATAATTGGGCCTTCGGTGTGGCACCGAGATCCAACTCAAGTGTTTAGTAAATATAAACGAATACAAACAGGAAGACACTTTAGGGAGACCGAGTATTCTCACATTGTCTTCATTTATAACATGTATTATCTCATGTTGATCAATGGGTTAAGGATTTTTCTTAAAGCCACAACCTGCCCATGGTTATATTTCTTGCCTCTTTTCTATTTATATAATAATACATAATTATTGTCTAACAAAACAACTATGAGTTAGAGTATTTTCCAGAATATTGATATACAAATTATCGTGATTTGCTTTTGTTTTATCTTAGATGTCTCATCTAATGAACATCTACATGTTTTCCTACATCTAGCAGCTTTTGGTTCAGTTAGCTGCAGAAGTCATCACAGAATTTTTACTTATTTGTAAGAAATTCGCAAAAGAGCTGCATCCAGTATGAACTGTCTCAACAAATATCGAACGCATTGTCGTCACGTTTTGTATAAATATTTATGTTCCCCAGAGGATGAATCCTGGAGACTTTGATTTGAGTTTGACGTTCTTTTTGCACTTTGTGTTTAAAGTAACAACTGAAGCTGCTGAGCAGCATCAACATGCTCACACCGTCATCGTCCAATCAGCAGTGGAGCAAACACGACATGTTGTTCCTGGGAGAGAGAATGACGAAACTATTCGATTTTAAGACACATATGAAACTATTTTTGGCCCTGATGGTGGCAGACAGAGGAAAGGTCACTGGGATCACCAACATCATTAGGGTTCGTCCTCTGGGGATCATGGATATTCATTTGATACTAGTTTTTTTAAGCAGAGGTCGTCATTGGAGTCACTTATCGTCGGGGGTCTCAGGGTGTGTTCCTCTGGGGTGGTCCAACTGTAAAACACTTCATAAGAAACATGAGGGGGCACACGCCGCCCCGCCAATCTGAATCATGATTAATGCTGTTTATACGAATCCTTACGGTTGTGCGACGGTATCGCCTGTATCTGTGTGACCTGCAGGCGGAGCGTCACCGATGGAGAGATTAGAAACGCATTTTAACACCAAAGACGAAAACCATTCATCAAACGAAGAGGACGGCAGGGAAGCGTGTTCTTTACACACACGCACACACACGATGTTGACCTTGGCTGCCGCCATGCGTCCTCCCAGACGAGGTGCCCTGACCTCACACGCCGAGACCTTTCCTGACCGACTAAATGGATCGCCTTATGTTTTTAGTGCAGTGACGCTGAAAAGGAACAACAGTAGGGAGGTATGGGGGGGGGGTAAGGTTAGACGAGATGAAAGATTTCAGCTTGTAGGCTGACAACAAACACGGGGGCCTCGAGTGAAACGGGATCCGCAGAGAGAGAGGGAAGGTGCTGCTTTTCTGTCAGTCTGCTTGAGTCCCTCCTGTCAGCTTTCAACCAGGAAGCTCATGAGCTTCATCTCTGCAGAAAACTGCAGCCAGCCAGCTTACCTACGGAAAGCCTGAGAGGATGTAATACATGTCATTTTATATATATATATATATATATATATATAAAAAGTTCAAATCGTCCATCCCACAACAAGGAATCCTCACTTTTGGGAACCAGGAACCAGAATCGTTGCTTAATAAATACATAAAGCAGTTGATCATCATCAAATGTATTGGTGCCAATCGGTTTGTCACGGTGTTGTTTGAGCATTACAAAATAATAACTGATCCCACGTCACCTGTGGGCTGCCGTAGTTTCCTGCCAAGAGTAAAAAGTTAATGTTGTCATCTTCTGTAAATCATAACAGCGTTTCACTCGGTGGATACAGTCTGTGGGTCCAAACCAACAGGTTGGTGAGCTCGAGGCCACTGAGGGCCGTCCCAGGATCAGCGCCTCCTGCTGGTCGGTCGCGGCTCCTGCACTGAAGGGGCCCCGACCGTCCTGCTCATGCTGTCGGCTCAACGTCTGTAGAAGTGTCTGATCGTACAGTGTGTTCATTACTGGGGATGCGTGTCCAATCCAGCAGTGTCTGCTTCATTTCAAGTATATCAGGGTTATGTCTTCATATAATATAGAAGCAACATCGTTCATTACTATCAATCAATATTTTCTTACTGAACCTCTAGTCACTTATAATTAAAACCTCGTCAATCCATCGTGCTTTACAAAGTGTTGTTTCTGGGATAAAGGTTTCTGGTGAGTTGTAAAATTAATAAATCAAAGTTAAACCAACACAGAAGATTTGGACTTGAGTGAAAATAAAAACAGTCTAATGGCAGAAGTTCCTAAAATCTCTAAAGTATTGAAATAAAAGTTCAATATCTGGGAAGGAAGGAAGGAGAGGAAAAGTAAGACAAGGAGCCCAAAGTAAGTTCTCTCTTTGCGAGCCAGCACCAAGAGAAGACCCTGCTTCTGCGAGGAGCTGCCGTAGCGAGTTTATTTACAATTCACAAAATACAGGTTCAAGCTTTTTCACATTAGTGTCGTCTGACAAACAAGTTCCAGCTCCGCTCCGCCTTTGGTTTCCCAACCTTTAAACTTTTTAAACACATTTTTAAAACTCTCTTCACCCATTTAATCCGCGTTTGAATTTAGAATAATCCACTTTTTTCCTTTGTTGCCACTTTCCAGAAGACTATCCGACGGCTGTTTCCACAAAAAGCCTGAATTCTTCCAGCGTTTTGATCAAATGTTTCAGTTTTCTACTTGAATAACTCAACATACAGGTCGGCTTGAAAACGTAGCTGGTCCGATTTTCAATCAATATTTATATATATACTATTTTATATACAATTCCATCCTCTCATGGCTTTGAACCACATTACATCTCTATTGGATGATTTGCTGGAGCAGTTGTGCGTTGGCTGTTCGGCGGCTAACTGAAGGCATGTGCACAAGTTACCTTTCTTCTGCGTACTTGTTTTACTGTCAAAGTTACTTTTCTTTTTTGTCCTAACGATGAGAAGGAAGTCTATTAAGTGCTAGGATGCTGTGCGCTTTGAAAATTAAAATAAAACATAAAAGCGATCGTCTAAGGCAGACACTCGCGCTGTTTTTGTTCTGTAAGAAGAATCCTTCGTTTATAAACTCTGATGTAGGATCATCTTCCGTATGATCGATCTGTTTTAGAACAGAAATGAAGCGGCACGAGTCCGTCAGTGACGTGAACACCGACGATGCCGATCATGCACACGCGAGTGGACATTAGAGACTCTCACTGTAGTTTCATGATAACAGTTAACACAGATTATTGTGACCCTCTGTGTTGTTAACACAGTGGGTCGCTCAGCTACGCTGTGATGAGTCTCAGCTGATCTCTATGAAGTCCCCACACACACACACACACACACACACACACACACACACACACACACAC